GTGATGCACCCCTGCCGTGCCCACCCACAGCTTGCTTGCAGCACCCTCCTAACCCGATGACTGTCCTCCCCCTCATAAGCTCTGTGGGAAACAGACTAGATGTGTAGACAGCAAGGACAGTAGGAGTGCTGAATGCCTTTTTGTTAAAAAAAAAAAAAACCACACAGTTCTGCCATTATTCTTACCCTTGTACTAGAAGCTTGTAGGAGTTCAGATTTTTTTTTTGTCTGTCAAGGAAAATAATAACCAGCTTGAAATATGTCATGACTAGAATAGCCCTAGTCTCTAGAAAGATTATTTAAAGTGTATCAAGTAAAATAAGAATGTAGCCAAAGTATTAATAACATTAGTAATCATACCAATAAATCATTTTTTACCCATGCTTTGAAAACAATTCCACATTACTTCTAATAATAATATTAACAATCACAGCAATAATGGCAGCTATTATTGAATATTTATTATGTACTAGCCTCTAAAGCAAGGGTTTTGTACACCGAATAATTTTTTTTAAGTTTTTTTTCTTTTATTTATGCATACAGAACTGGGTACAAGCCAGAGGTGCAGGGGCAGTGAGAGGATTCACCAGAGACAGAACAGGCAGATTGATGAAGTATACTGCCGAGGGGAGCAGCAGGCAGGGTAGGAGAGGTCTGCCGCACCATGTGGGTCAGCTCCCATGCTGGGGATCGAACCCACACTGAAGCAGCTGCAGTTAGCTTGCAGTGCTGCATCCTAACCGGTAGTGCCACCCAGGAGGGCCTGTACACCGAATAATTTCACTTTCCCTCTCCCTACATCTGATTTCAAGGTACTGTGACTTTCATTTAATAGATGAGGAAAGTGAGGTGAGAGAGGTTTTTTTTAAAAATATTTATTTATTTATGAGTACAGAACTGGGGTACAGGCCAGAGGTGCAGGGATGAGAGGATTCACCAGAGACAGAGTAGGGAGCAGAACAGGCAGATCAACAAAGTACACTGCAGAGGGGAGCAGCGGATCAGACAGGAGAGGTGTGCTGCGTCATGTGGGTCACCTCCCTGGTCTATGATCCAGCTTGTGCTGAAGTGGCTGCAGCTAGCTTCAAAGTGCTGCGCTTTAACCCGTTGTGCCACCAGGGAGTTTTAAAAAAGACCTAGAACACATAGCAAAAAAGTAGCAGTGATAAACCTAATTGGTGAGAGACAAGGAGGGAAAGGAAGAACTCTAAACTGAGGCTGTTAGTGCCTGTGGCTTTATGTGGTTCAGGGAGACCTGCTGCAGTAATTTAATACATATGGCTCTAGGTAGATATAAACTCATTTCGTGTATTCCTGCACAACGTACAGACTGGACTGTTTTTCCTTATCCCCCAGGTGCTGATGTTATAACTATAGACAGAGTGTTCTGCTAGGCCTTCAGAGAATAGAAAACCCTTGAGGATTGAGGAGTTCCCTAGGCAGAAGGGAACATAAGAGAGAGATATTAGGTGGAGTCATGTGACATTGCCGCTGGGAATTTTGAAAAGATTCCACACAGTTCAACCTGACACATAACTAAAAAAAGGCAATATGATACTTGCTAAATATATTGCCCCCTCCTTATGTTTCAGGTACCATGCTAGTATTTTACAAGTACTAGTTCCTGAACCTTAAAATAAGTTGTTATAATTATCCCCATTTTATAGATGAGGAAGTGGGGGCCCTGAGGGGTGAAGTGACATGCCTCAAGCCAAACACCTGGTTTGTACCAGAGATGGAATTTGAACCCTGATCAGTCTGAACACAGAGCCTGTATACTTTAACCTCAGAATATAGTATCTTTATAGAGTTACAGATAAAAACATGCAGCTTAAGATATACACTAAAAAATTTTATTTTATTTTTTATTTCACAAACACTCTGTAGAGTACTTTAGAACTCATCTGGTATTTTCTGTGATCTGAACATATCTGGCCAAGCATATCACCTACCACTTAATCTCCAATATTTGCATTTCCCCCTGATACTGGCCAATGACCAAGGGGAAGATTTGGCGGGGGAAGTAAAACAGAAACATTTCCTCTTTTAATTGTTTTATGGACACTGAATCTGATTTTTTAAAAAAGATTTATTTATGCTTATAGAACTGGGGTACAGGCCAGAGGCATGGGAGTAAGAGGATTCACCAGAGACAGAGTGGGGAGCAGAACAGGCAGATCCATGAAGTACACTGCTGAGGGGAGCAGTGGGTGGGTCAGGAGAGGTCTGCCACACCAAGTGGGTCAGTCCCCTGGCGGGGGATTGAACTTGTGCTTCAGTAGCTTTGGAGAACTTTATAATGCCGTGCTTTAACACATTGTGCCACCAGGGAGAGCCCCTGAATCTGATTTTTTGGAGGCACAAGCACATGCTAAAACAGTTCCATAATAATTACATCCTCTTTTTTTCTCCCCCTGTGTCCAGTTGTCCCTTCTTCCAGGTCAAATACACAGATGGAAATCATAGGAATGATCATTTAATTGTAACTAATTAAATTATAATAATATGATTAAAGTTATTTATATATAAGAAAGCCATTTTAAGAACTTCCCTCTTTAAAAGTTTCCTAATCTTACAAATACGAAAATCCTGTAAATACCAAAATCTGTGTAAATCATAACTTAAAACTTTATGTAAAAAGACATGCCCCTTATTTAAAAGGTTAGTTTTCTTAATTACATGGGAAAAAATTAAGTTGTTTTCATTTTGTTGTATTTTAACAAAATATAACTTTGATTTTGTTGGTACCTAGTGAATGAGATTCTCTCCACTGCTATCCAGGTATCTTGCAGCCCTACCCCAAATTTTAAATTAAATTTGACAACGGCATTTTCAAAGTAACTCGTCACTCTGCCTGTGCCACTAGGAACTTGGTTTACATTGAAACAGCAAAAACTGCTTGTTCCAGGAGATCCTTTTCAGGTCTTGAAAAGAGGGTGGGTTTTGGAGTCAACGTGAATGGGTTGAATACCCTGATCTTATTAGATTGCTGATCCCAGGCAAATTACTGAAACCCCTGGGAATCTTATTTGCAATATCAGGTTAATTAATCCTTATTTTACAGGTTTGAGGAAAGGTTTATGCAATAATGTACATGTGCTTCTAGGACAATAGCCAATGGCACTTAGTAGGTCCTCACGAAATGTCAGTAGTCTTATATTTGGACATTCTTTTAAAGACTGCAATGGGCTGTATTGTTTAGGAATATATAAATTCAGTTTTGTTAGGCTTTTTTTTAAAGTCATATTTGTGTTTCTTCAGGGTTTTGGCTGACTTGGGAGAAAAGCTTTCTGAAATCCATTAATATTTCATTGGAGCTGTGGAGCAACAGCTGTAAAACTTGCTTGGTGGGCCCTAATTGCAATGAATAATCCATGGCCTCTTGAAATGTAATTCTTCAAAACGGGTATTATAATTAAATTCTGGCCAATCCAAAGGCACTTTAAAACACGTTTAAAAATTTCCCAAGCCAATTAGAAAACTGGTTGGCCCAACTGTCAAGTGCAAAGAAATATGCTAATTATGCTAATTTATGCAAAGACTACTGTTCGGGAAGGCCTTGACTGGATGTGAAGCACCGCATCTTCTGAGAAAACACCTAGTTGATACTATGATACTAAATCACTGAATGTATTTTTAAGCCTTGTCTAAATACAAAGCATACATTATGAAGGACAGAGTGGCAATTACTAGAACAAGATATGGTTTGTTTGTTTGTGTTTTTAAAAGATCTTCTATCTTGAATATGACAACATTGTCTGCCAACCTTGACATACTGACTTTGTGCAACATAGTATAATCACAGTGTCCTTGTATGTATAGCAAGCAGGGTGCATAACCATTAACTTTTTTTTTTTAATATAGGGGCCATAAAAATGAAACAATTTCTCTTCAATAACTTAAATCTAGGGATAATTTTATTTAGAATTCAAAATACCAGCAGGAGATGGATTTGAACATTCTGTTTACCATTCACTGCTATATGCTTTACAAACTTTTAAAATAATTTTAGAACACTTCTGGTGCTTACATGATTTTTTTTTAAAAACCTGAATCCCATTCTTGTGTAATTTGTCTTTTACCTATCCGCATGATGTTCATCTAAAGTAAAAGCCCACAAAATCTTCACGTATTCTCATGGGCATTTATAGGAAAAACAAATGAGGTTAACCTGGACTACGAAGCACCCTTTCTCAGTCCCCGCTATCATAATTAACATTTATTTAAACTCTGAGAGCTAGATGGTCTATGGAATCCTAGCAAGAATTTGAGTTTTAAAATGGGTGGTAACTGAAGGACTTGGAACAGAGTATTAAAAGGTTGGGTAGATTCCTTTGTAAGACTGAAGATTATGTAACGAAAATTCCACAAATTGGTGATAAAGGTTATCTAACATAAAGACAAGACAGTTGGAATTGAATGTTTGGAGAGTGACTTAGCTCCTCGCCTTCATCTTGGCCGCAAAGGTTCTTTTTTTTTTTCCTTTTAATGTTGACATAAAGATTTCACAGATAAGGTTTCCCAGCATTTTAGAATGGAAAGAGAGGGTACTACAAAAGAAAGCTTAATACATTTAAGAGTTAGAATGAATCAGTTATTTGCCAAATAACTAAGTTAAAGTGATGTTTTCTTTTTTTTTAAAAAAAAAAGCATATGCAAAAAAGTACTTACTGGGGCTTGATCTAATTAGAGTTCTAAACAAATATTGTGTGTTGGGGGGGTTGTTTTTAAAACCCCCCTCCCCCCCACCCCTTGAAGCTAAAACTTGTGTGTGTGTGTGTGTGTGTGTGTGTGCAGGGCGCCTGCGGAGAATAGCACGCATCTTGTAGATCTTAAAAAGAAAAAAAAAAAAAAAAGAGCCACATAAACCTGTTTCTTGAATAAAGCAATACATTCCTGAAGTTAAAAAGAATCCCAGAGGAAACAGGAATTAACAGCTTTGGAGCTTGATTTAAAATTTTTTTAATTAAAAAAATCCTAATTTCCACATTTTTTTGCTAGGCGAGAACCGAAGTTTGGAGGTAGACGAGCAAGCGAACGGTTTGCCCGGGCGCAGAGCATGAAGGCCGGGCGGGCGCGGGGAGCGGGCGCCCGCCGCCCGGCGCGGGGG